ATCACAGCACATCGGGCCCGGTAAGCTAAATTGCGTATGTACTGTAGCAGTGCCATACGATTGGAGCAACAGGGTCGCACCACTAGGATCCCCATCATTCTGTGAATTGAGCTTTAATGGTAACATATTTATGCGAGATCTGCCTGTGGACGCTGGTCGTGACATAGAATCGTGCGGGAGGCAGACGAAGCGGAGTTTGTAAGGCTTCCGTGTGTCCAGCTGTTTGGAGTGCGGTTAGCTCCTGGCGTCGCTGTTAGGAGTCTCAATGATAGGCAGCGTTGGTCTAGAAGAGAGTGCTCTGTACCTATCAGTCAGCAGTTGATTACGATTGGCCGAATCAAAATCTGCTTGTCCAAAAAAGGCATAGTATTATACCCACTAAGTGGAGACCTCGATTCCCAGCCAAGAAAGATAAGGCCGGCAGACTGAGAGTCCAACGTTCTCCGTATGGTACCTATGTACTCACCGTCGGGTGGATTCTTGCGACGGGTCAAAGAAGGGCCATCTTTTGGACGAAACTCTGGACGGGCCCACGCACGACCGTGGCTATCTCGCTCGATGTCTGCCGCGCGCACACAGTCCACCCATATTAATCGGGTCGCCCTGACAAAACAGTGCTTGCTGGAGCTTCGACTCCGAACCGCGTTCAACGCCGGGGGCTAACAGAACCCCAGGTTCTGCGCTGGAGGCCGTCGACACGCGCCTCATGCGCATCCCTTGATCGCTCTTTGTCATGCCTCAGCTACAACCAGCCACTCACCCAAAGACGCCCACAACCTTAGATGAACCTCCCACCGACCCACAGGCCATCAGCCCTATGCTTCTTGCACCGGTAGAGGACCAAAACGGACAAGATGTCATCGTGGCTGCCCTGAAACTGCTTCCGGCGTGCCACAGATGTCGCAAGCTCCGGCGAAAATGTGACCCTGGCCTGCCGGCTTGCAGGCTGTGCACCAAAAGCCAGTCGGAATGTTGTTATTACGACCACGCGCTCCAGCAAATTCTTCCACGAAGGTGAGCGCTTCGCCCAGAGTTGGGGGTTGTTGTGAAGACTACCTGTGTCTGATAATGGTCTTCGTTAGCTACGTCAAGTCGCTCATTGAGCGGCTCCGTCGCCTGCAGCAGGGCAGTGGCGCTACACCACGCCCCTCCTTGGTGGTATCTGATGAGCGCCTCTCGCCCGGTACACGTCTCCCAGCTCCTCCGCCTCGAGGCAGTATTTCTGAACAGGATGTCCCCGTTGATCTGCCGGCCATTTCACACCTAGTCTCGAGCACCGCCAACACGGGCGACTACCATTACGTGGTTCCAACTGCCTCCGGGCTTAAGACTCGATTTCATGGCAGGAGCTCGGTCTTTTCCCTTACTGTGGCTGTCCTCGGCAGAGCTCAAGTTGATTTTCCGCGTATCCTAACGGAGCGTTCTCCAGACACCGTTGTGATAGCGCCCGAGGACCCATGTGTGATGCTCGACGGTGGTAGTTGCAGGATCTCGGAAGCCGTGATCCGTTCCTCCGCCCGCCTCTACATGAGCTCTATCAATGTGATATACCCATTCCTCAGCACTCAGACGGTGGACGAGAGTACCGAACTGTTTTTACGAATGCAAGCTACGGGTGGGGAGCCTTCGACCCGAGAAGAGGCGTTCCGCGTGTTTTGTGTGGCCATGATTCTAGCAATCACTTCCGCGAGTCGGTCTCGCTTGAACCGGGATTGGGTCACGGTGGACAATCTCTGTCACGTCAAAGCGGCGAAGCACATCGAGACGGTAACTTCGGTGCAATCAATGCAATCCCTGCATGCCTTGATGCTATTGATCCTCTACTGCCTCTTTCGACCTAGGAGAGGCGATATCTGGAAGCTGTTAGACTATGCCTGTCGCCTGAGCATTGAGCTAGGCCTCCATTCAGAGCCTACGGGCAGCGCGGAGCAAGACTCGGAGGCGCAAGAGACTAGACGAAATACCTTTTGGGGCTTGTACATCATCGAGCGCATAGTCGGCCAAGTCTTTGGACGACCTTCCGATCTGCCAGAGGCTATGTTCACCACCAGGCTGCCGACCATTACTGACCGGAACTCGACGGTTGGGGTCCTGGGAGACGAGCAGGTCCAGGAGTTCTCAGCCGCCCACCACTATCGACTGGTGTACCTACGGTCGCAGTTATATCGCGATCTCTATCTGCCGAGCGACCCGCCAGAGCATCCGTTGTCGTGGTACGCTTCTCGTCTCGCGCCAATTATGAGCTGGTATCGCCAAATGAAAACAAACAACCCCGAAGAGAGCCTGTCAGGGGTCGGCACCCTCACGTGTGGTGTTGCCTTCCACTCCACCATCGTCTTCCTTTTTCAATCCGTCATACTCCGCCACCTAGAACAAACTCGCGACCGGACGGCGTCCATTGTAGGTGAATTTCCGATCGACAGCTTCTACTCCACTTGTCGCTTGATCCAGATCTACAACAAGGTAACGGGTGCTCGAGCCGACTCCGTCCTCGGCACATATCCCTTGACCTTTATGGGCGCGCATTACTGCTGGTCAGCCGCCATGACAATCATAGCTCACTCTCTGCTCGTTCTGGACGGCCGTCTGGTACCCAAGAGGCTGATCACCGATGTAGAATTGCTGAAGGAGACCGAGGGTATCCAGTTGAACAATATCGTCGAAATGTCCAACTCTTGTCTGGTCCTGCTGCAATTCTGCGCTGAGCAGTGGCCTGGCATGTTGGGAATGGTAGACGTGTACAAAAGCCTGGCGCACAATATTATCCCGCGAATGGTCGGGAAGGAGACTTTCTAGGTCGGCTAAAGCGTCGGAGAGGCTTCTTGTCTACATTACGAATATCGAGAACGAGTGCATGCGCTAGACAGTGACAGACATAGTTTCTCTTTGGCAAAAAGTAATTGGGCGCAGACGGCTTTGCATGTAGAAACTGGCGAAATGTCTCCATTTTCCACCTCTGTTTCACCAATATCTACTGGCTAAACTCGAGACAGTTTGCAGAAGGACGCAAAGTCGCTGGACCGAGGAGAAGGGGATGCAGTCGTCACTGTGGCCTCGTGAAATCCCGAGCCTGCCTGGGAATGAGAGAGTACAACGTCTCCCGATTGCATGACTGTTTCAGTGACACGGTCATGATCCCAAACGCACCACACGAGATGCGCCGGTGCCTGTGTCAAGTCGGGAAGAGATAAACGGCTTTGCTGCTATTGCTACTGCCTGCGGCGTCGTATCTTCTATGATCCACTGAGCGTGGCTAGCCGAGCTCGAGACTCAGCCCGCGAACTGGACCCGAGCTCAAATGCTCAAGGTTTCTCTAAAGTTTCGACCATAGTCCACACATACAATGCGTCCCGCGACAGTGGCGCCGTTTTGTATGATCGCACGCGCTGCTCCGTTCAAATCGGTTGCTTGCAATTGGCAGGATAAGCTGCCGGGAAGCCGAGAGACATCTTGGTCTCCACACCCAGATCACCCAACGGGCTGGTCGCTCTGATAACATTCCAATTGCTCTGTGGGGGAATGACTCTAACTTTCTGAAATGCTTGAATATTTCCATCTAAAGGGGCACCCAGCGCTCGCTTAGTTGAAAGGACAACGGTGCCATGGTGCTAGGTCCTGTGCCCACATTGCGCTCTCCTCCAGCCAATCCTTTGCCAGGGTCACTCAACAAATCCGTCCACCTTGCGAGACCACGCAGGAATGCGCATGTGCCAGTACCTCTCTTAAATCCTCACCATCCAGAATTAACCTGGCCACATAGTGCACAGGAAATGGGGGCCTCGATCAGCTCGCCAGTAGCATAACTTAGAGATCACATATGATATTTCTATGAAAGATTGTATTCCTGACTATTCAAAGAATTTATTAACAATCAAAGCCCTCATACGATCTATCGAAATTCGAAGAAATTATGTTATCCCAAGCGATCGCAGGGCGTGAGGCCTGGTGCCCCCCCGCTTCCCCCACACACCGTCCAAAAAAGGGTCCCTCAATGGCGATGCCGTAAATTCCGATCCGGATACAAGAAGTCCCCAATCCGCAATCTGAGTCTTGGGCAAGATATGGGGATGGGGTTGAATATTTGACAGCCGTGCTGTTGAGGAGCAATTGCAAATCTGTTCTCTCAAGACTGTGCAGCACTGTGTGATATGTATACATCTGACTGACGACTCCGCGGTTCTCGAACATGAAAGGGTACACGATAAATGGAGAACACAATGTCTGCCTTACTATATGCAGAGGTATTACTGGACTCGGGACGCGCGTTCCTCATCCTTATATATCATGTATAAATAATAAATAGGAGCAAGGCTACGACAGTCTACATTGCCGGCATCTTCAAAACAACCCGAACCGGGACACAAGTGTCCCAGTCACCAGTTCGGGTAGGAGCCACCCAAATTAGCCATTTAGTTTGCTAGTCGTTGAGCCAATCGTGTATTTAGACATTATCAACGGTACAATAGAGTGCGCCAAGCAGCCTTCCAACCGTGTTTTCGCGCGACAGAATCATTTGACCCTGTCCCCTTCCTTGCGTATTTCGATTCAACGTACATTTACCAGCCCAAGGCCATGCCAGGCTAGATTGGATCGTCTGCGGTATGTCTGAGGCAGGTAATGACTGTCATCGACGGGTCTTGTCCTGTGCTAGGTGTCGGAAGCGGAAGATCAAAGTACGATTATCACCACTACGTCTCGAGAATCGGAAGAGTTGGGCTGTGCTGATTTTCACCTGATCCTAGTGCGACCGGAAGCTCCCTTCTTGTTCAAATTGCCATACTGCCCAAGTGGATTGTATCGGCCATAATGTTATTGAAGGTGTGGAGGTTCCCCGGTCGATCATTGTATATCTAGAGCACGAAATCGCCCACATCGAAAACCAGCAGGCTTCCCAGCAGCAGCAGCGACAACGTCAGCAACAAGAACAAGAACAAGGCAGCCAGGAGAGCTTGGATGATGCCGCTCGCAGCGGGAATGGCCGGTCTACCTTACCCTCAGCAATGAGAAGTCAGACGTCCGCTTCAACTCAGGCGGCGTGGCTCTGCACAATTTACAAAGGTACTCTTATCGACCACCAAATTGAAAGCATCAAGAGGTCCCCCGAGCTGCAAGAAATGGTTAGTGCAACGATGCCCACCGGACCTACGGCGATGGACCTTGTGGGAAGAGTGAGAATGGGCCTCACTCCGTCTTTCAACCTGGCCGCCTCAGGTCAGGCAACCCAGTCACCTGGACCGGCGTCCGAGGTTCCAGTTAGATCGGATGGCACTGCCCTCTTAGATTGTGAAGCGACCTCTATTCTGCCACGGCATGTCATCCACGCCCTCATCAACCGATATGTCCAACGTCTTCTCCCTAGAGCGCCCTTCATAGCCGAAGACGTCCTGTGGAAACAAGCCGAGAACGTGATGGCCACTCTCGACCCACACAGCGACGAATCGACCTCCAAGTCGAGCCGCCGGATCAAGCCATCGTATGATCACCTCGTCGTTTGCACTGTGCTTGCCATCTCTGCAACACTGGGTTGTAGCTACAGCGCCCACGAGTCGAGGTACATGGCGTTCTCGGAAATCCTATTCAACGAAGGGATTCAACATATGCGGAACGAAGCCATCTTTCCTGACGATCTGGCCGCCATACAGGCAACTCTGTTGATCCTGCAGTACGCCGAAATCAATCCGAAATGTGCCAACATATGGGTCCTTGGAGGCGCTGCCATGCGGTACTGCCTTGATCTCGGCCTTCACCGGGAGCCTATGCCAGAGCCGCTGGAAGAAAGAACGGCCGCCTCGCTAAACCTACGCAGGAGTATCTTTTGGATGGCATATTGTATGGATCGAGCCATCTGCTCGGCCTTACAGAGACCGCTTTCCATCCCTGATCCCGCCATCACAACCGGGTATCCCGTCCTTGGACTCGAAAAGCTGGGGTCCTCTGACATGGCGGACGGCGCCAAAGATAGCATCCCGCCGTCAGCGCGCAAAAGTGTGGCTTTCCATCAGATACTTTATTGGCGGATTCAATCGACTATCATGGAAGCACAAGCGCGTGGGCTTTCCCTGGACGGCCACCAGGAGGATGAAGAGTGGTTCGCTTCCGTTGAGCGGTCACTTCGGCAATGGTACGAAGATTGTTGGCCGATCGATGCGGCTCAAGCAGAATTTGGACTGGTACACGGATTGGTCAGCCTCTATCGACCGCGAGCGACGTCGACGTCGACCCGCTCTACCGCCCACGTACATGTCGCATTCGCGAATGCGTGCAAGTCAACCCAGATCTACCGGGACAAGGTCCTGTACGGCTTTGTTCGCCGACCCTGGCTCGCCGCACACGAGATTTCGCAGTCCGCGATGCTGGCACTGTATTGCCTCCGGTTCTACTACGAGAGCATCGTGGAGTGCTACCAAATAGGGGAACTGTATGAGATGATGAAAGGCTTCACCGCAAACTTGTTGCACATCGCCGGCCAGGGCTGGACGGAGGTCAAAAAGCTGGCTGCGCGGTACGAAAGGCTTCTGGCCCCCATTCTCGAAGCCTTGCTGGGAGAAAGCCAGACTGGCCCGGTCAAGTATCCGGCCGAGTACGATGCAGAGCTGAACGCATATTTTGACCCCAGCTCTGCTCATTTGGACTACCTTCACTTTGACAACAACAGTAACAACAGCACCTTGAACATAGGTGCTATGGATGTCATGGGCCCTGATGCTTTCATCTGGGACGAGGATTTGACCCATATTTTTGACGCGGGCGATTTGTTCGATTGGAATATGGAGGCATCATCTCTGACCATGCCTGAAGTTGAACCCGTCAATCATGAAAACCTCATGATGACCGTTGCCTAAGTCAACACGTTCTTGCTCATGCTCTCGCCCATCAGCCGGTGTCGAACCTTCGGTTCACATCACCGAGAACCTATGCTCGGCCTTGGAGTCCCAAATACCGCCAACAGCCTTGCCAATATTAGTGAAGGCATTCCAGCATGCAGAGTTGCAAATACCTTCTAGTCCCAGGTCATCCGAGAAGGAGTGTTCCTTCACTTGTGGGCCAAAAGTAACTCCTTCTCGGGGAGAGTAAGCAACGGCCGTCGTGCCCACTGCCAATGCCATCGTCGGACTGATCTCCGGCAATGGCGTCAGATCCTCGCTCGGGGTGCCATTCATCATCTGGGCAATGTTGGTGGCCACAAAGTGCCCCGAGTAAAGCGCCACGCCGACGCGCTTGATGCCAGACCACGCCATTATGTCGCCTGCTGCAAAGTGACAAGCATTGCTGGGGACAGGCGGAGAAAATTGAAGTCTGGGGTTTGGCGAGTCAGTACAGCATGACCTGAAGAGGGAGAAGAGAATCACGATGGCAATATTTTCACAAAACCGTCCGCATCCAGCGCCTCAGTTGGTAAAAAGTCCGTGCTTGGCTTGTGTCCCGTCGTGGTGTCGATGACTATCTCCGCAATGATATGCTCTCCGTCGGAAAGGTCTAACTTCGTGAGGGTTTGTCCGGCAGAAGAATGCAGCTGCTGTTGCCTCTGGAGCACTCGACACCCCAAGCGCACTGAGACTCCAGAGTCAGCCAGCAGTGACCGGGTTTGAGCTTTAAAATCGCTGGGTAATGGTTCCGACGACAGTAGTTCGCTTCGTGAATGGAACAGGATCACTTCTTTAGATGCGAAGTGATTCTTGATCTCGGAAGCCATTTCGACGCCGACGGCCCCTAGCAAGATGCTCAGTATGTAGTCTCTTGTGGTGGCTCGTGCATGCGTAATATACCTCCACCGATCACCACAATGGGAGTCTCGGCTTTCGAGAAGGAATCGACTGTTGCTCGTACATCCATCACAAATCCGTCCTTGAGGAAGGCTTTTGGGACGGCTGGCCACTGTCGTCGCAAGCCCGATGCGACGACCAGATAGTCATAGGACTCGACCTCCTCTTCGCAGTCGCTTCGCTGCTCTGGGGTGCGCCGCCAGAACAGTTTCTTGCTAGCCGGATCGACTCGCGTTACTCGGCCTTGTTTGAACGACACCCGTGAGAATTGGGGGAGCGCTCCGATGCTGGAGAACGGCATCCACGATCGCTTCGCAAAGGACTCTGAGACGATCGACAGCGGAGATCCCATGGTGTGGACTGGAGGACGTCGGTCAGCCGGGGTCAGCAGAAGCTCAGGTAGATCCCACATATACCGTCTCTCTCGTCGATGAGGGTAATGGCCGGCATCCTACTAGGAGGCGAAACAGTCGGAATTGGCATGGGGTTAAACAACTGTTCATTGCCATCGCAAATGTTCACCAAGTTGCGTGCAACCGATAGCCCCGCGTAGGCGCCGCCCACAATCACCACGTGTGGTGGATGTTGTACCATACTTGAGGAGCTGAGAAGATCCATGGACATTCACTTTAGTGGCGGAATAATGAATATAAGCACCTGAGAGTCAATATCTCGAATGGCAAAGGACCGTGGCTTAGCAGTAACTACTCCTCCTTCGTCCTGCGAACAATCGATCTCGCACCGCCGGTAGCACCGCCAACTTGAAGGGACCTGCGCGCCAGAGTCCGACATAATGAAGAGCTTTGCAGTGGCTCGATGGGAACCAACTCGGACCCAACATGCTCCTGGTCGTGATGAGCCGGGCATCTCATTTCGGTATGGAAAATATGCGTGGCGGAGAACATCCGTCCTCTTTCGTTCCCACTCGCCCCACCCCGTCGCGAGCACCGTCCTGTCATAATCATTGTCACTGTGTTCCTGACTTGGCTCATTCAACGGCCCTCTGTGGATGGACGTGTGAGCCATGACATGAATTTGCCCTGGCAGAACATCGTTTGCAGCTGGCTGATCTAACACCACTTGACTTATAGCCATCTCGTTCTCACCAGCCTAGCTTCCCGCTGCAGACCAGATCTACCACGCCATGTCTCACAGCTGCCGACGGCCACCCAGCGAAGATCAACTCCCTTCCACTGGAGAAGAGAATAAATCGTGGGATCTGAGCCCTGAAAGAAGCAAGACCGTGACGCAGGTGGTCAGCCATGATATCGCTACCCAGGCCCTTGGAAACATCGACGAGCTGTCTTTTCCCGAGGGCGGCAAGCATGCTTGGCTGGCGGTCGTCGGGGCCTTCTTTGCCTGCTTTGCTGCCTTCGAGATGACCAACGCCATCGGGGCTTTTCAAAACTGGGTCATGACGCACCAGCTCCGAGATGAAAGTGCGTCGGCCATCGGCTGGCTGTTTGGAGTGAACTCGTTCGTTCTCATCTTCTGTGGCCTTTTTGTCGGTCCCCCCAGCGACATTTTTGGGACGCAAATTCCCCTGCGCGCAGGAGCCGTTCTGTGCGTGGTTTTCTACGTCGTCCTGGGGTATTGCCATGAGTACTGGCATTTCATGCTAGCGGTGGGTGTCCTCGCTGGATTGGCCTCCTCCCTTCTATTTGTCCCGTCAATCGTGACGGTAGGACAGTACTTTGCACGTCGGCGAGGGGTAGCGACGGGCCTTGCGCTGTCAGGAGGGAGCATCGGCGGCATTGTTGTACCCATCATGCTTGAAATTTTGCTGCCCAGGATTGGCTGGGTCTGGACCACTCGACTGTTCGCCTTGCTCACCTTGGTTCTGGGTGCTCTTGCTTGTCTGCTTGTGCGGCCTCGCCTGGCACCGACGCAGACGCTCAAAGGCTTCACCAGCATGCTCCCTGATTTTTCCACATATCGCGAAGGGACCTTTTTCGCCACCAGTTTCGGAATCTTCTTCCTTGATACTGCCCTGTTCATCCCGCTGGCATACCTTCCCACGTACACCACGGCTCAGGGCTTCTCGACAAGCACAGCGTATTCTACGCTAGCGTATCTCAACGTTGGCTCATGCCTGGGCCGTTGGATCCCTGCGGCAGTTTCTGATCGCATCGGGCGCTTCAACACCATGATGATAACCGTCAGCCTCTGCGCGATTTGTACGCTTACGACATGGCTCTCTGTAGGCTCCTCCATTCCTGGCATCATTATCTACGCAGTTTTCTTTGGCTTTGCCAGCGGCAGCAACTTGAGCTTGGCACCGGTTTGTGTTGGTCAGCTGTGTGACATCAAAAGCTACGCAAGATACTATACAACAGCAGTCTTTCTGGCAAGTTTCGGGTACGTCGAGATCTGCGCTTATAGCTAATGTTTCCACATCCCAGGGATGCTGACCCAAGTACCTTTAGGGCGTTGTCTGGGAATCCGGTCTCTGGTGCATTGCTACAAGTAAATGGTGGCCGGTATTGGGGGTTGATAGTGTACACCGGACTGTGCTACGTGGCAGCTTTAGTGTGCTTTGGAGTTGCAAGGACTCGTGCAGTTGGATTCGGCCTGAGCAAGATATTCTGAATAGACCCCGGTGCGATTCCCTATCAATTTGTACTAGCGTGCGTTGTAGTCAGCATGAGCATTATGGGCCATGCGATTCTTCAAATACAATCCCCGCAAGAGAGTATCAAGTTGCAAGGCATGCACTTTCGAAAATATGGCAGCTCAATGGAAATCGAAAGCTAAGTCTGGGTGCGCGACGTGCAGAGAGGATGTTCAAATGCGCTGTTGTTACGCCTGGAACAGTTGCCGTTCCACAAGCGCTTCAGGCGTTACCTGATTGCGCCTAGTGCCAGGAGGCCTTGCGGCGTCGCAGGACTCAGGAGAGGTCTTCCTGGTACCTAGCATTTTGTATATAGACGATCAGACCTGGCCTGAGGAGAGGCACAGGTAGACAGGCCAATCGATGACCTATTCAAGATCCTGCTAATTCAACAGCTGTCGTAGTGCAGGATCATTGTATTCAATGCGTTATGAAAACTTCTAACAATCAGAGAGACGAAGGCTGCACAAGGCAGAATTACAACCGAACAGGTACATGTCCTAACTAACATCCGTCATCCAAAGTATGCACCGGCTCTTCCGGTGGTGATTCGCAGAGCTGACAGCACCTCTCACGACGTCGCAGCCATCACTGGGACAGACTGTACCTGCTTATCATAAAAGTCCTGCCCATAGATCACTTTCATCTCCTCCTCGATGTACTCCGTTAAAGTCATGCCCCGGCGGAACATTTTTCCATCCTCGACGGCCATCTGTTCAACGTCCACATCTCCCACGATTGGGTTAAGCTTTGTGTCGGGTTCCGGCTGGCAGAAGAAGGCGACGCTATAGCGTTCCTTGTCCCACGGGAGCTGGTCTTGGGTGATTCGATGCAGCGTGGATTTCAGCTTATTACACGACCAGAATTGTAGGACGTCACCAATGTTGATCAAAGCGTGGTCGAATCCAGGGGCGGGTGCCTGTACCCACTCGCCGGTGGGTGAAAGGACCTCCAAGCCCACGGCGGATTGGAATAGAATGGTCACCGAGTTGGACCCGTCACTGTGAGGCGAGATGCGCGCTGAGTGCTTCGGGGGTGGCGCGTCAAATTTGGGATAGTGTAGCATAATGATCAAATTCCTCGAAGATTCATACCGGTGGTGAGAGGCGAAAAAGTCCTCGCTCAGACCGAGGAAAATGGCGAAGCACCGCAGTAGCTTGAGTGACATCTCGGCGCATGCCTTTTTATACGCATCAATTGCCGGGAGGTGCTTTTCCAGTGAAGGATGCAGGCCCGGGTTCCCGCTTAAGCTCCCGGGTAGTCCACCAAGCCACATGGCGGACTTTTCATCTTTATGGGCATCGTCACCAGGCCCTTTGAAGCCGACTTGATCTTTATTCACGGGATGCTTGTTCCTCTCGGACAGGGGTAGCGCGCTGAATTCCTCGTTGATGTCGAACATCTTCTGGATTAAATCGTGGGGGATTTGGTGGTTCTTGATGAAGAAGAAACCCCAAGTCGCGCATGCTCTGTGCGGGCGTATCATGATTAGCAGAATGCACATACAAGTGCGAGTCCAAATTCCAGAGCTCATGACTCTACAGCTGGTCCAATGTCATGAATGGAAGGGATGAACCATACGTACTCAGTGATTTTCGCTGCTACGGAGCGGACATCATTGTCGATGTTCGAGACATCGATGATTGGGATGGTCTTGTCAGCCATGATCGAGATATCTTTGATTGGGCGAGGTTGAGACAAGTCCTAGGCTCTCCTTGTTTGAGACAAACAGCCGTCGGAATATTCGTATGTGGTCGGAGGACAGGGAAGTCACATGCTGGCCAAGATCTAAACTCCTCGCTCTGGGGTGGATATCTACGTTTTTAATATATCTTCACGTCCACTCTTAGAGTATGTCTGTGGGGTCCATGTATCGTAGATATTCGGACGACTTCGATGGCTAACACTGAGGGCGGTCTCGGCCGAGGTTCCTGTCAGAACCAATCGAAGACAGCACACAAGCTCTACGAGCTCTATCATAAGTGCTTGCTGGAGATAACAGCCCTGTCACTTGGTCTCGGTTCAATGCAATTCGCCAGACACTGCAGCACTCAAGTCATGTGTGAAGCGGGACACCCCCGCAAAGCGACTAGATATTTCTAAACACTGAATCTATCAGATAAGCAGAAGAGACTTGACTACATGGCGACAACGACCGCGATCACCACTGCCCCTAAGCAGTTAGTAGAAAGTGTGAACAGAAACCCCGACACCCAAATCAAGGTCCCTTGCATGTCTCCAGCGTCCACGGCATGCCTCGGTAGATACTCGGGTGGTGTTGTTGAAGTGGCTTTTCAATAGAGGGTTTCTGATTACATCGGTGTCCGACGTCCATGATCTTCCAGCCATTCATCTGGCCACGACCTCGGAGCCGATGTTCCAAGCCTGTGTCAAGCTCAAAACTCGTGGTCGCCGCGCAGGCACAGCGATTGCCAGTCAACCAGGTCAACAGCCGCAAGGCTGCTCAATAGCACATGGGCGAACGGTCTGCGGTGGCCTGCCCATCATCCCGGCGACGAGACTCGAGGTTGCGCGCAGCTCCGATTGTGCCTATCTGTGCGCTGCTGCGCTCATAAGCGCACGCGACATGTCCGTGTCCCCGCACAATGCTAATCGTTACTCCTAAGCGTGACATTCTAGTCTCTATTAGGTTAGACTTTTCACAGAGTTCCGGATCGAGTCCAAGATGTGGGCCCAGGGACGTGGTGAATGGCCAGTGCCAATTGACGAGAAAATATCAATATATGTATTGTCCTCCCTTTTTTCGGTTACGCGACAGTCTATCTAGCGCTTCAGCCTTTTTAAGTATGCCTGCATCATCAAAAGTGTAATGGCTGATGACTGTTAAAACGGAGGTGTTCCAGCCCCCGGCAGGGCTCTCCGACGCTTACCGAATTCAATGGGAGCATTTGTGAGGAGCCCTTTTCGCTTCTACAGCGTCCATGAGAGATTCAGTCTCTCAATACCACTGTATGTAGAAGAAACGGCTCTCTGCTTTTTGAAAAATCTGTAAACAACGACAAACCCAGCTTGCAGCCATATTAAGCAAAGACGGCGCACCTCGCCGCCGTTACGTATGCTAGTAGAGAATCTAGAATACGAGCATAATCCCTTTCGATGTTTTTAAGACTTATAAAAACGTACTGACATATGCTATCATCTGAGGAAATGATCATTCCCTCTCAAAAGCACAGCTAACTTAGTGGTTCGAGAGCTCCTTTCCCACTGACTTTAATCGTTTCTGTTACTTCCCGCACCAAGCTTTTGTGCGCCTTCAATGCTGTGGAGGGCACCCAGTTTCCGTGAATCTGTGATTTCACGTGCATGGGCATGTGGACAACCGCAATGGGTTTTTCGAAAGTTCTCGTATCCAGGATGACGAGTTCGCTCTTCTTCGTGTCTTGTCTGTCAACCATAGTCATGATCCACCCGTCCCCGTCAGGGGCGTCGTCGCTGCGAGGGATGAAGCACGGCTCCTGACAAACCGCGTTGTCACCAGCGTAGAAGTATTGCGTCTTGCCCGTCTTATGATTGTGCATAGCGACGCCGTTCAGACGGTTGTATATGAAACTCCTGGTGTCGGCAGGGCTCCCCGGGACCGCCACGATGGCAAATAGTGTTTCGTACTGTCGGGTCATGAAGCGTTCGTCAATGCGCGGCATTTCAGAGGGCACATCCATCACAACCATCGGATCCTTGATGGTGGAATTGGTCGGCATCCTGGGATCGAATTCCCATCGGACAAAGTCTGCCTTTGGATTCGGGATAGCCATACGGCCATTCTCGGGCGGGAAGAACGGCAGGCTGTTTTCGAAGACCCTGGAACTTTCGAGGTACAGTTTCCCATCTTCATCCTCCCAGGCTCCCGCAGTGTGAACTGGCATGCAGTTTTTCCACGAATAGACCCGATGTTCTCCTTCTTTCCAACCATATTTTTTGCCAGCGTCTTTGTGCCTGGGAATCACAAGGAAGGTAACAGGACGTTCATATGTCCAGGCCCAGTGATGCTTGCCAGCCTTCATTCGTTCAACGTCGGCTTCAAATGGCCACAGCACCAAGATTGTGAAATTCGGAGTTATGCCGCAGTCGTGAATGAATGCAGCCCACGGTGACTTCAACCAGTGTTCAAAGGTCTTCTTGCCGTTTTGGTCTAGGGCATACGACACAATGTCCAGCGTCGCTAGGCCCTTGGCCTCATAGCCGAACGTCACAAGTTCTTGGGTGAAAGGATCAACCTTTGGGTGTGCGGTAAAGGTTTTGGACAGGATCTGACCCGCGAAAGGGTCATATCCAAGCGTCTCCAGAGTGTCAGGATCCACTTCGTAGGGCAGGGCCACTTCCTTGAGCGCCAGGAACTTTCCAGCCCATAGGATAACGTTGGTGTTAGCCGTTGAGTCTACGGCGGCTCGGACGCAGGGGTGATGAGTATAGGGATTGCGATACAGACCGAACAATGACCTGTTAGCTTTACGTTCGAGCAGGTATCGTTCCGTCTCGATGTAGCGCATTCTCAAATCGACATGGCCATTGTGAAAACGGAAGGCTGATATATGGCCGTCCCCATCAATTGGCGTGCTTCCGGCATGAGGCGGGACGAAGGGGTCTGTCATTACCCGGTAGAATGTGCCATTGATTTCTGATGGAATTTCTCCGAAAACCACCATGTCCTTCACCTCGCCTTCGAGCCGACAGGGGACGCCGGAGCCAGCGAGGTCCTGTGCACTTTCCCACTTCGTAGGCTTCAATCCCCAAGTGTTGTGGAGATCTTTATTTCCTGTGAGAATCTCATTGGTCGCGGTCGCCATACTGAAACAGTCGATAAGGATTGCTCAGGATATTGCCCCAGCTGTCACTGTAAGAGTATACCAAAGCTTGTCCAAATTTGAGCCTCGTACCAAATCATTGCTTCCAGAACGTCTTTATAGCCAACCTGGACAGATTCTAGGCCCGCCTCACACTCGGTAGTGCAATCGGTTCCTGGAAAATGCCTAATGTAGACAAGTTCGGCCAGGCTCCTCCGTAATAAGTACGCCATCGGGGTTGGGGCTCTCCGCTGGAGTCCGTAGCCAATTCGAGCGGGAACTCTTCGGAGCTGGGGCGCGGGCGGAAAACGTTGTTTCCATCGGGATGTTCTGGGGCTCCACAATCTCTGCATTTCTATCATAATGGGAAATCGGGGTTAAGAAATTACTACAGAAATGCGGGGACATAGGAAGCTGCAAGACGTCCTTGACCAGTGTATTGAATGCACGTGTGGACTAATCGCATGATGAATACGTGCGGGGCGCTTGGTCCCCGAAGTTCAAATCCCGTCACCGATCTTGTAATTGTTAACCACGCCAGCGCAGAGAAGTTCAACACCTTCTGCAAGGCATATGTATGGTTAATAGAGGTTGTTTAAACTAAGACGGCAATCACATCTAATTGTATACGCTCGACTACCCCACGACCTACCACGATTTGTTCTGTAAGCTCTACGACCCATGGACTGCCTCCCCTCTCACAACACCCTTTACTACAACGGCGAATGGCATTCGCCGCTTGAATCAACCTTTCGCGAGACCTACAACCCCGGAAATGGCGAGGTCATCGGAAAGGTCGCCCAGGCTGGGGCCCGCGATGTAGATGCAGCTGTACAGTCAGCCCATCTGGCATTCGAAACTTGGAGGGATACGCCGCCCACAAAACGGGCGGAATGCTTGTTGGTGGCTGCGGACGCACTACTACAGCACGCAGAGGAGTTCGCAATGATCGATAGTTTGAACACTGGAAATCCTTACACGGCCATGCTGAACGATGCAAGGATAGCTGCCGAAGGTCTTCGATACTTTGCGGGGTTGATACCCATGCTTCAGGGAGAGACGATACCCCAAGGGAATGATACTTTCCATTACACTGTGCGAGAGCCTCTCGGAGTCGTAGCCCGGATAGTGGCTTTCAACCATCCGCTCATGTTCGCTGCGTCCAGGATTGCAGCCCCGCTTGCGGCTGGAAATACCGTTATCCTCAAATCTCCAGACCAGGCGCCGCTCTCGTGCCTACGCCTAGCTGAGGTTCTGGACACTATCTTTCCTCCCGGCGTGGTCGGGGTTCTTTCTGGCGGCGCAGAGTGCGGTAAAGCACTCTCTGCACATCCATTGGTGAAGAAAGTAACCCTGATTGGAAGCGTGGCTACGGGAAAAGCAATCCAACAAACAGTGGCTGCCATGCTCAAACCCACAATATTGGAGCTTGGAGGCAAAAATGCTCTGATTGCCTTTCCCGACGCCGATCCTGCGAAAGTCGCTGCCGGTGTTGCTCAAGGGATGAATTTCGCTTGGGCAGGACAATCTTGCGGTTCGACCTCGCGAGTCTTTCTCCACAAGTCGCACCACGACACCATCGTCCAAAAAGCGGTGGAGATCATCCAGCGGGACTATAAGCCTGGTGTGCCGATAGGCCCATCCACTACCATGGGGCCAGTCATCAGCAAGTCTGCGGAGAGCCGTGTGCTGTCGTATATCGAGGCGGCAAAGCGAGAAGGAGCGAAGCTGATAATAGGTGGTAAGAAACCCGACGAGCCTCAGGAAATTCAGAAAGGCTTCTTCATCGAACCAACCATTTTCACAAATGTCAAACCCAACATGATTATAGCGCGGGAAGAGATTTTTGGTCCCGTTCTTGCG